CATTGTTGTTGCGTTGGCACCATGCTTGTTTTCAAGCCGGTGGTAAATATATATATATAGTATTCGAGATGGTGGGGCTACCATTTGGGAAGGGTTTTTCCCTCATAAAACACCGAATAGATGTGGATAACCTTTGGGTGAGGCGAATGTGTTGTAGCCCAGAAACCCGCATTCAACGCTCCAGATTTATCATCTGATTGACGTTCCCATTTGAAAAAATCAATGAAGTTTCGATCACAAATTTCTGGGGATTCTGAGATTATGGATTTTGGACTCATTGGCACGTCTCTTAGAGTGATATAGGGGTGAAGTCCAGCTGACAGGTCGGATTCCATACGACCGTGTGGTGTGTGCAGCGAAACTTGGAGATTCGCACCAAGCAAGCAGCCATCGCCCGTAAAAGCGCAAAATATTTGTCAAGTCGGAGTACGCGACTATAGATGGGCTGTTGGCTTCACGCTACGACCATCGGCTAAACTTTAGACAAAATACCGGTACGCCAATTGGTGTTCGCTTTCCTTGAGTCAATGACGGACCCAGATAGAGCACATCGCCATAAATGACGTGGTTGCAGACAAGACGAGAGAGCCGATCTTACTAAAGCATCCCTCTCGAATCGCAACATGCAGTTTGCTCTAGTTTGTCCGTATGCATGACCAACGCATGAACACGAGACGAAAACGTTGTCGTAGATTTATTATTGTCCTTTCTGTTGCATAGATTGCTGTTATTCTGGGCGCATATTTTAACATTTCGCTTGTCCCGTTTTAGCTCTCATGCCTCGTTTTTGGTAGATTAAAGCCTATCAATAAGGCGTTGTCTTCTGGCTTGTCTGCCGACTAAACATGTGATCTGATACACTACAAGTTCTCGTCAATCATATAAACTACTACGTTACAATTTAATCGGCCAATTACAATGAACCGAAATGTACGCTTGGATCGTTTTGACACTGATCCAAACTCTCCAGATGGTGCCGATTCCTGGGAACACTGGTATTATACGTTCAATAATTTCCTAGGACTTGTGGAAGAGCATAAAACAGACAAACTCAAAACCCTCATGCACTTTTTGTCGCCTACTGTCTACAATTTCGTTTTACGATGCACTGATTATAACTCTGCCATTACGACGCTTCAATCCCTATACATGCAAACGAAGAACGAGATTTTTGTGTCATCTTCTGGACACCTCGAAACAGAGTACCATTGAAACTCTAGATTAATTCATGCAAAAGCTCAAAAACCTTGCTCGAGAATGCAATTTTAAAGCAGTCAGCGCAAAATAAAACGAGGAGGACGCCATACGTGACGCGTTTATCAGCGGGCTATCATCAAACCCCATCCGCCAGCGGATTCTTGAAAATAAAACACTCGATGTGAGTACCGGTTATGACCAGGCCAAAGCTCTCGATCTAGCTCAACAGCAGTCTCAAACATTCGCCCGAGCCACTCCTCCAATCTACGCTGCCGCTGCAAGCGCCCTGGATCAGACAACTGAGACGACGTTGGCTGTGTCCCGAACAAGCTGCTTCTTTTGTGGTTATGATCGACATCCTCGTCACAAGTGTCCTGCGAAAGATGCAACTTGCAAGTCGTGTGGCAAACGGGGACATTTTCAGAAAGTTTGCCGGGCTCCTGCCAACTCAAGGCATACCGCAGCTACCTCACCGTTCCTCGTCTCCTCCATCAGTGCAGCCGCAGCCCCTGCGAGCCTTACTAACGCTGTTACTGATGTAACAGTCAACGGATTAGCATTAAAAGCTTTGGTAGAAACAGGAAGCTCAGAAAGTTACGTATCTGAGGAGATCGTTCTCCGGAACAAATGGTCGACATTGACATCCAATAGTAAGATTGTCNCTGGCTTCCACCCGTACGACAAGCTGTACCAGGGGTCATTGTTTCGTCTCCCTAATACATGAAGGTATTCTGTATGAAAATGTAAAACTATCCGTTCTCCCCGATTTATGGGTTGATGTACTACTAGGATATGACTTTTTTCAACGAAACAAGCCAGTAGAAATACCCTTCCAAAGAATTCAGCCATCGTTTTCTCTCTGTAATCTCTCAGCCGCTAGTTTTCCAGTTCCCTAGATTTTCGCACATCTGGACCCCTCTTACCGTCCTATTTGCACAAAATCGAGAAGACACAGCTACTACGATGAGAATTTTATTCGTTCAGAGGTCGCTAGGTTATTGAAGGACGGTATAATCGAACCTTCTCGATCGCTATGACGGTCCCAGGTCCTGGTTACAACCAACGAACGCCAGAAATGACGGATGGTTGTCGATTATGGTCAGACAATTAACCGGTTCACCCTATTGGATGCTTACCCGCTATTCCGTATTGATGACTTGATGGGTAAAATTACCGAATACGGCATTTACAGCACCCTAGACTTGAAAAGTGCGTACCACCAAATACCAATAAAGGAAAATGAGCGATATTACACAGTCTTCGAAGCAAGCAATAATCTTTATCAATTTCGCCGCATACCGTTTGGAGTAACCAACGGCGTCGCCTGTTTTCAGTGCATCATTGATGAGCTTGTTCGACGTGAAGGGCTGAAAGGAACATTAGTATATGTAGACAACATCACTGTCTGTGGGAAGGAAATCACGGATCACAACATAAATCTGGAGAGGGTCCTGCAGGCGGCTGCCAAACATGGTTTAACACTAAATAACAACATGTGTGCATTTACCTCCGAAGTAGTTTGATTGCTAGGCTACGAAATATCCAAAGCAGGCGTCAAGCCGGACCCTGAACGCTTCGACGCCCTTCTCAAACTACCGCCTCCATCGAATATGAAGGCGCAACATAGAGTTGTCGGAATGTTCTCATAGTATTCCTAGTGGTTTTCTCATTTTTCGGAAAAGATTCACCCGCTAATTACTAACAAAATCTTCCCTCTTCTCAATGAAGTACACTCCTCCTATGAATCAATGAAATCCGAGCTAATTCAAGCATCATTGGTTGCAGTTGATGAAGACACCCCTAGTGATCGAGACCGATGCCTCCGACACAGCAATCTCTGCTACACTCAATCAAAGTGGTCGCCCCGTGGCTTTTCTCACGAACCCTGTCACCCCCAAAGCGAAATCATTCTGCTGTAGAAAAAGAAGCCTACGCAATAATTGAAGCCATTCGAAAGTGGCGGCACCACCTACTGGGTGCCCACTTCAAATTGGTTACTGATCAACGCTCCGTCGTCTTCATGTACGATATGAAAGTCAGCAGCAAAATCAAAAACGACAAAATACAACGCTGGCGTATCGAACTTTCCCAATTCTCATATGATGTGATATACCGTCCAGGTTCGGAGAATCCTGCAGTCGATGCTTTATCACGAGCATTCTGCGCAAGCACTCACTCAGTCGATGAACTGAAGCGACTTTACGACAGTCTGTGCCACCCCGATATCACGCCTCTGTACCATGTTGTCCGCACAAAAAATTACCCTTTTCTCTCGATAATGTCAAGGTGGTAACTCAACAATGTTATGTTTGTGCACGCGTTAAACCCAAGTTTTACATACCACGCAATAGTCTCCTTGTTAAGGCTACACAACCTTTGGAACGCCTCAGTGTTGTTCTCAAAGGCCCAATTCCCTCTTCTACTCGAAATCGCTACATTTTGACAATTGTTGATGAGTATTCCCATTTTCCGTTTGCCTTCCCCTGTCCCCACATGACTGCTTGAATTATTATTTCTCGTTTAACTGAGTTATTTTCCGCACTACTTACACTCAGATCAAAGGGCTTCTTGCATGTCTCAGGAACTGAAGACGTTCCTTTACGAGTGAGGAGTAGCTACTAGCAGGAGGACGAACTATAACCTTCAAGGTAATGGCCAGGTCGAAAGGTTGAATGGAACCATCTGGAAAACCGTATCCCTGTACCTCCGTTCTAAGGATCCGGCGGTTGATCAATGGGGGTTGGTGCTACCTGATGCCCTCCATGCTATCAGATCATTATCGTGTACGACTATCAACGCGACGCCTCACGAACGTATGTTTTTCCACAATCGAAAATCTGCGATTGGTACCAGTTTGCCCCAGTGGTTATTAACACCTGGTCCTGTACTATATCGAAGATACATCCGATCTTCTAATTATGACCCCATGATAGAGGAAGTCATACTACTGGACAGCGACCCTGAATACGCTCACATACGTCTCCCAAATGGATGAGAAGAAACAGTATCTCTTCGTCATCTGGCTCCCGTACAACGACCAAGTTCGTCGCCACCCACTCCCTTCCCAGAGACGTGTACCGAATCCCCCCACCTGATGACATGCCATGCACCTCAGATTTACACACAGTTCTGTCCGACCCGATGAAACTTCTCAGTGAACCAGGAACAAGCGTTGAAGATCTTTTATCTAAACAACAGAGGGGGAGACCTTATTGCCTTCGAAACCGTGAGGTTTAGCAACGCACTCTTCACTACTTATTGTGAACACTTCCCATTCTCAGTCCTCGGGATACCCAAAACAAAATTCATCGTAATCTTCGTTTT